TTATGTTGTGACATGACACGCATGTTTTTGTTATCGTGTTTGGATGTGTAATTAACCTAGGTCATCTGTTTTCGTCGCGTAATACCGAGTTTGGTACATGTGGAGCTAGCCAAACGGCCAAAAGCGCATCATGAGCGCAGCATGTGGCCATGTTGTTACATGAACCGCTTTTTTTTACCATGTTTGCACCAGTACCATACTTTCGTTCTCCATTCAAGTCCCGTAGTACCAAATTTGGTATTAGTGAAGCTAGCGAGAGAGCCGCCAGTGGAACATGAACGTAGCATGTAGTCATGTTGTTACATGACCCACCTCTCATGTTTATCATGTATACACCAGTCACATACTTTCCTCATCCATCTACGTACTGTAATAGCAAATTTGGTATACGGCACGCTAGTGAAATGGCCGTGAGCGCATCGTGAGCCTGGCATGTAGCCATGTTGTTACGTGACACGCATGTCTTATTTTCATGTTAGGGTCTGTCGCTTGTGTTCGCCATGCAATCATGCCATACCATACCAGTTTTACAACATGCGATATGCATGAAAACACCGCAAGAGCTGCCGGACCATAAAATATAAATCATGACATTCATGACATACATGTCATGATTTTCATGTTATGACTAGTCAAGTATGTTCTTCATACAGTCATGTTATGCCATACCATGTTTGGTACCGATACCATTATCGAAATGGCCAGGAGAGCTAAAAGTCGTAGGCGGCTAGATAGATAGATAGATAGATAGATAGATAGATAGATAGATAGATAGATAGATAGATAGATAGATAGATAGATAGATAGATAGATAGATAGATAGATAGATAGATAGATAGATAGATAGATAGATACGCTCAAAGTCGCTGAAGTTTGCTAAGCAAAGCTTCGCATTTAAAAGTAAAAGCGAGCATGGGTACACCATCTAACGGTTGGTCAAACGTTTTCTTGCTTGGACGGGAAAGGCTCCAGTGGCCACACTTTATACAATATATTTGCCTATGCGCATCTGCCGTTCTTCGTCGTTCGAAAATAAGTCCGAAACGTAATAACGTATGCTGTCGGGCTACTTGGTGTGTAGCTGTGTAAAACGTCGTTGGCGCAAACTTGAATGCAGACGAGAGAAGAGGCTTGAAAAAGTGCGCTTTTCCGAGTCTGTTCTCTCGTCTTCTTACAAGTATGCGCCAACGATGTTTTACATCGAGACCCCATTTCGCACCGTTTGCCGTTTGCCGGAGAACGACGTAGCCAATCGGCGACGGAGGAGCGAGATGACTGAGCCGCGTCGTCTGCTTTCGCCGCTTTGCGACGTCTGCGTCTGCCGCGGGTAACTTCGAGCTACTTGCTTCTTGCTGCACGGTTTTCACACTGACTTGCTTCTTGCTGCACGGTTTTCACACTGTGTCGCACGTACCTGCGATACAGTAGTGGTGCAGGCTCTTCTCACAATCTGTGTCGCACGTGTTGTCCACTGAATACATCGCAGCAGTGAATAGAGCATTTTAGCCTGTCTGGTATTTTAAAAAAGCGCACAGCAATTCAAAATTTTGTTTCCCAAAGCAGGCGTTTGGACAGGTGGCGTCTGCTATTCTGAGTTAGAAACAACTAAAGAACGGGTAACGTATGCCTCCGAGATTTCGGAACGCTTGCTTAAGCCTATAACATCAATTATTTGTGTATGACTCTCAAAAACCGTGCCAAATCGATTCGAGTACTCCGATGTCGAAACTTGACGACATTAGTCTAATGCGAATTGAAGTATCAGTTCGGAGCTTACATACTACAGAGTGTACGGTGACCGCTTGATAGATTCGAGGTGGTCGACAACTGCATTCGGAAGAGCGGCCATTGTTTGGCGGAGGCAGAAATGCTTCGCCGGCGAAGCTTCCCCCGCACTTCGAACAGCTCTCCTGCATACAGCACCGGCTGCTAGTCTACGGAACTGTGCCGTCAGGGCAGACTGGCCGCTAGCTTGAACTACCCTCAACAGAGGACGCGTCCCGCTGATGCCCATGTCACCAACCCTCGATGCTCTGTTCGCCACTATCACTTCACAGCCTCTACTGCTTCTGCTTTACATTTCCCGGGTGCAATTGGTTCGCCATAATGAAGAGTTTCGTCCTGAACCCGCCAACTACTCCCTTCTCCAATATCATGACCACGAGACAATATTGCCACTTCGTAAGCCCGTTTGATAACCACATGTGGTAGAATACAAAGAAGATCTACTTCAAGATCTGCTTGGCTAGTCTACCGAACGAGCCCAATAAAAGAAGGTTCTCTTCAGAAACGTGACAATATCATTGGTGTCTCCGACCTCAGCTGGAGGTAGTACGCAATCTATGTGTATCAAGCATGGAATCAACATAGGAAGCTTCAGTGGAAAAGGGTAGAACAACTCAGCTATGACCACACCACCAGCGACATGTTAGTGAATTTTAGCTTGCCAATGCGATATTTACAGAACTGACTACAATGCTTTAACACACCAGAATTTTTTCAATATATTCTAAGCAAGCCTGTGACCGTATTATAAACAGACGGTAACTGTTTTACGTATATATTTATTAATTTTAGGAAACATTCAATGCTGTTCCTAAAGTTTACAGATTCTTTTAAGGTAGTTTATGGGCTGTTGCCACCATCCTTGTTCATCATTAATTTTTGAGTGTGTGACCATGTGGCCGATTTTGCCCACTTCTTTGAGCGTCGTGTGAATCTTGGTGTCTTGTTGTTTGCGTTTTTCGTAACCATGACATAAGAAGTTGAATTCATGTGACAGTCTTGAACTGTGACGAAACAGGGCGTAATGAAACAGAAAAAAAACTGCTAGGGGTGATTCCAGCATGCAGTGACAAATACAAATGAGGCGGCACCCGAAAGCTGAGTATCGTTTCATCATGGCGGCACCCGTGCGGTTATTCGAGATGTTCACAGCCTGTCGCGCCGCCTAGCGAAATTCGGGAGTGCCCTCGCATGGTTGATTAATAGACAGACGCTCCCAATGCTGCCTTTTTCAGCGGTGCTAGCCGCAGTGTTATCGCGTCAGCAAAAAACGAACAGAAACCACTTTGTATGTTTTATGCTTCAGTGGATATACCGGACCGTTTGTGACACGATAAATATGATTCATTCTTTCGAGACGCAAAGTTTTCTAAAAATACGTGGCGATGCGCACTTTCGTTTATGGCCCACAGTGTACACATATCAGCTTCGCAAGAGTTTCTGCAGCCATTTTATATAGTTAATCGTAACGTTTGATCATTTCGGCTAAAACTCGCCTTGTTTCGTGTCCGTATAGCAGTCTTCAGTCCTTTTGTAGTGCATGAATTCCATAGCATTTGGTGTGCGCGGAATGTAGCGCAGGCTCGCGATTTGTACTTCCAAACCTTGGCCTACGCTGCGCCGCTTGTTTTTTATTACGTTCTTTGATAGATGGCAGTGCACTGGAAGCGATTCCTCTTTTGCCGGGTATTGGAGCGAAATGGTCTCCGCACCCCTAGATAAACGTGGTGAGTGAAGCCGCGTGGGTGCTGTGCATGGTGAGTGACGTGTTGTTGGTGCTATCGAAGTCGCTTGGTGGAGAGAATTCCTCGTATTACTTTCAGCACTTATGTTCAAACAAACCGGCTTGAAGTCGAAAATTTTGCGCTGGATGGAGTTGGTTGTCAACGCGCTGAGAGTGACCGCGACGATGAACGATCAGCTGCTGACTTACGAGCAGATAGTTGCACTCCACGTCCCGTCGTGCGTTATAGTTCTTTCCCGCTCGTAAGTCACTTTGACTGTATTTATTTTATATTATCCTTCTGCGAGCTCAAAAAAAGCATAATTTTTCTTGTGCACTGAATGTATCACAATTACAGTGTATATTACAAAGCGTCGCATGCAGCCAACACGCTCGAGCTCGACCAGCGAAGCAAAATGATTATAGAAATGAACTATGCATTTACAACTACAGTCTACGCTAACTTCTGCATTTCAAGGGTGCCGTTTGAACGACGTTTTTTACATCAAACTTTCGCAATTTTGACGTTCCAAAAATTGCGCGCATCTATTCGTTTCGCTACCCATGTTTCAGTTAAGCTGATAAAAACTGCAACATCCAAGTGCAGGGAATTGCGCACTGTTAGAGTCTGATCATGGCTGTGACACAAGTGATACTTAATGGAAAATTAAATGCTTGTGTTCCGTTGAAGAAGCAGCTACATCATGCTTACAGTGCAAATAATGATGGCATAATATGTTTGCAAACCATCGCTACGTTAAGCATTTGTTCCTGTGCAGCCGCGACGGTGGTGTTTGTCGGTGGCCTACCACTGTAGCGAATCCGCCTGACATGCTCGGCACAAAAGATCTCGAAGTGCCGTTAGGTCATACACAAATTCTGGTTCGCGCAGTTTTCTGCAGCACGCACAGTAATACGGAAAGCATCGTTAATACAAGGTCGATCATCTGACACCACCACCTTTTGAACTGCGGCGAGAAATGAAGTAGCCAACATTCAGCAGTTCCTATTGGTTGGTAAAGTACTTTGGTTTAATGTACATTCACTTGACAATCAAGAGTTCATCTGGTTAAAGTGGCACGGGGAGCACGTCCGTGCGTTCTATCTTTTCCTATGTGAGTTGACTGGTTGACCCTTCTGCCATAGCCATCTTGGATTGCACGTCGTGCCACCTATAGGCCGTGAGCATTGCGAATAGATTTGAATGCACAAATCCAAGGGGGAAGGGGGCTCTCACTTTAGAGTCAGCATATGAAATCTATCGCATCAGCAGACCGACTGAAAACAAAAACGATATCTCTGTCACCTTCAAGTGATTTCATAAGAACGCGAAGGGAACCCTGTGTGTTTATATTATTTCCCAATTAGCTTGTTGCAAGCGTTTATTGCGGTGACATTCAAATATAGGCCGAATTGTTCTCAGCAAGCGTTCAACATACCCAGGGTCTTTCGTCGGGCTTAGAGATTAGAGATAGGCTTCGAGATTACTTACCTAACATACTTCGAGATTGCTGCAAGACTGCAACTCGAGAACTTCTCATGATTGGCTCCATGCGATTTAGGACTCATAATATAGCCATCCGCAGCGTGGCACTTTGTTGAGCTGCCTTCACCGTCATGATAGGCGCCGAGCCTGCAATCGAATTCGAGAACGTGAATGACTCTGCACGCATTTTCTTTTAAGGGTGGCAATTAGCACCTCGCAAGGCATTATTTTGTTTTGTAGTATACATTTTGGCAGTGAAAGTGAACGAAGGAGTAGTTTCTTTTGCCAGTATAGGGTTCTGCCTTTCTCAGTGAATTCACATGAGACAGGTAGGTTTTTGTTTGCAGTTTTACTCGGCGCACTTCTTTAGAAAACGGGTCCACCAGGTGAACAACTAGGTGGGTGTGGTAGGGTTAACCATCTAAAAATGGAATTTGCAATTTTGTAACCAAAAAAACCCACGGTACTCTAAGGAACAAACCTGTGGAAGCCTATCGTCCAACGGCCACTGAAACGGCGTGCCCTCTGGCGTAAGCAGTATGCGCACGTAGAACTTCGTTTTCCTCAAATTGCTCTTTTTAATCAATTTTTAATATTAACTGTACCTTTTTCAAAAAGTGTTGAATCGATTTCGATGAAACAGTATGCGTTAGCAATAAGTTGCAAGCATTTTGAGCTAAATTAAATTGGTGATTTCATAAAAAGTCAAGCTGTGAAAAATTCATAACTGTACATTCTCTCTGTGGCTCCGTGCTTTCATAAAATTTATTTTTAAAAGAAATTCAAGAAAAATGTAGTAGCTTTAAATTCAGCTGCAACCTTCCAGTTTCTACAATAACATGGCTGAATATCATTAAAATCGTTTTGGTAGTTGTGAAGAAAACGTACCTAGAAAAAGTGAACCCTCATCAAAATTGTGATGTGTACTCTAAGGCAACATCGGCGATGGGGTGGCTACGGAAGTTCGCAAACCGTAAAGCGGGTTTAAGAAGAGATGTGCTAATAATGATATATAAACTTTATGTGCGACCCATCATGGAATTCCGATGTGTATTATTTTCTGGCTGGGCAGCTTATAAAACGAGACCCCTAATACTGCTAGAAAGAGAAGCGTTGCGTTTGTGTCTGGGTCTACCAAAACTTGTTGCAAATAACGTGTTGTATATGGAAGCTCGCCTACCTTCTCTGTCAAATAGGTTTAAAATTCTCACTGTGCAAGCATCCTTAAATATATACAGTTCACACCAAAGACTCCCATTTTACGCTTTCATTCAAGAACTGGCTTTATTTTTCGAAACCCATTGGTCGCGACTACACACCCCGCAAATAGTATTTGCACAAGCGCTACTGCAGCAACTGAATGTAAAATTTAAACATATTGGTCCAATAAACAAACTAAAGTAAGTGCTTAGCATACCATTTGATATATTTCCTCTTAACGCGAAACAATTCGCACATAGGTATTTAAATAACCAGTTAGCAGATTATCTAGCTCACCTAGAAATAAGCAATATCATTGCGACTGATGCATCTGTGTGAAAAGAAAAGGCTGGGGTTGGCATCTTCTCTCCTTCTTTCGACTGGTCCTTTTCGATTCGACTCCCAGATTATACCCCTGTATTCATTGCAGAATTATTGGCCATTGTTCTTGCCCTACGCAAATTGCCCTCAAGCGAATCATTAGCAGTTATTATTAGAGATTTGTTATCAGTTTGTAATGCACTTTCTGCGGCAGTAAATGCAGAGCTGATGAATACGTTTTGGCATTTAGTACCAAAAAACATAAAAAAACAGCATTTGCTATGGGTATTGGTCCACCGCGGAATATATTTGAACGAAATGGCGGACGCTTTAGCCGCAGTATCCCTGGGTGGGCCCACCATCCCAGTTTTGCCAGATACGGCTTACGTGACAGCGCTGAGGTTCCGAAATGCTTGCCTGCAATGGGAAAAAGGTAATTTCGACGAATTCAAAGATTTCGAGCATTTGAGCTATTGCTGGAATAAACAGTGGTGTGTATCTTGCCAGTTAGAGGTCACTTATACCAGATTGCGCTGTGCAGTTCCACAGCTAAATTATTACCTTAACAAAGCTCGACTCAAGGCGTCATTGCTATGCATTTGGTGCAATGAAATTGAAACAATCGAACATTAATTTTTATTCTGCCATTGTTATTCTTATCAGCGAAAAAGAGTTTTAGTAGCCCCATTAGAAAAGCTAGGAATACAAGTAAATCTACCAGTAACTCTATCACTTGGCGGAACTTCATATGGTTACTGCCACAGGGATGTATGCTCTACTGTGTTTGATTACATCAACACAACTAAAAGATTACCGTGCTAGTGAACCCCAACCTTTTCAGATCTTTAGTTTATGATTCGTAGTTATGTCTATCAAAAACAAGAGATGGTTTGACCGCTTGCTCAGCAAACATTTTTGTTTTTAGTTAGTATTATTTTTAAACTACTTTTTCAGATTGGCTTCATTTTCATTTTAGTTCCATTAAATTTTCTGCCGTCCGGTTCTTGGCCCATCCTTTCTGAGGGTGAGCACCATCCATAAGAGGTCATCATCATCCTCATCATTGGGAGTGGGCCGTAGGAAGGATAGGCCACCTAGGCATAAAAAAGGATGTCACTTGATACCTAGTGGTATTCCTTTCTGATCATGTTAAATTTAATGGGAATACGTGCAGCCATTGCGAACTTATTGTTACGGTGCGATGGATGCCTTTATTTACAGGAGATGATCAATGCGAGAGTCCAGGGATCTGGCCGATCACTGCTCGTGCCAACCTCGTTCTCCTCTTCTTCCACGCGCATCCTCAGTATCGTAGCAATTCCCCCTTTGCAGACGATGCCCACCGGGCGAGTTAGGCTTCGTTGCGATGATGATAGCGTTTTAAACGGGCAACATGAACGACGTTGGTCTTGCTTGAGCGGCGGCCAGTTGACAACAGCTGAGATATCACGTACGTGACATCGCTTAGACGTTCCAAGACAACAAACGGACCGGTGTAGTTGGCCAGAAACTTTTGGCAGAGGCCGCGCTTGCGAAGCGGCGTCCAAAGCCACACCAAATCCCCTTTCTCAAACCATACGTGCCGGTGACTTCTGTCGTAACGGTTTTTGGAGCGTTTCTGTGAGAGAAAGTTCGAAGACAGGCGATGCGCCGGGCCTCTTCTGCGCGGCAAATGGTTTCGGCGAGAGTAGGTTGATCAGTCTCGGAAAAAGGAAGAATAGTGTCAAGAGCTGTGCGGGGTTGGCGTGCGTAGAGCAGATAAAATGGACTGTACCTCGTTGTTTCGTGCTGTGCAGTGTTGTAGGCGAAAGTTATAAATGGCAAAATCGCGTCCCATGTTTTGTGTCCAGAATCAACATACATGGAAATCATGTTGACGAGAGTCCTGTTTGTTCGTTCCGTCAAACCATTAGCCTGCGGGTGATACGGGGTAGTGTGACGAAAATGGCACGAAGCAAGACGGAGGAGGTCTTCAACTACATCGGCAACAAATTGCCGCCCGCGATCACTGATGATGACACGGGGGGATCCATGGCGTAATATAACGTGTGACAGCATGAACTGTGAAACTTGAGTGGCCGTTGCCGCAGGAATCGCCGCAGTTTTGGCGTAACGTGTGAGGTGGTCAACGCCCACAATAATCCATCGGTTGCCGTTCGTTGATCGCGGACAAGGGCCGAGCAGGTCGACACCTACGACGTCAAATGGTGAACTCGGGGGTGCTATGGGATGAAGTAGTCCGGCTGGCGGAGTTGTAGGACGCTTGTGGCGTTGACATTGCTCACAGCTCGCAACGTATGCAGTCACACTTTCACGCATCTTCGGCCAGAAGAAGCGTTCTTGCGTGCGATAAAATGTCCTAGAAAAATCCATATAGCCAGATGTTGGGTCGTCGTGCATTGCTCGAAGTACGTGTTGTCGAAGACTTGTAGGCACAACTAGAAGTAGGCGAGGGCCTACGCCGGAATAATTCTTTTTGTAGAGAACGCCATCCTTTATGACGAAACCACGTTGACCGTTCGTTCCGGAAACAAAGAAAGAAGCGAGACTGTTGTCATTGCGTTGCTCTGCTCGAAAAGTTGTTAGGTCGGGGAACGGAGTATCCACTACAGCCAAATATTCATCAAAGTTGTCAGGTCGCACTCGGTTGTCGGAAGGGGAAGTCGTGAAAGGCAATCAGCGTCGGCATGACGACGACCACTCTTGTAGCAGACTTCAAAGTCGTGTTCTTGCAATCGTAATGCCCAACGAGCAAGACGACCAGATGGGTCCCGTAGTCCAGTGAGCCAACATAAAGAATGGTGGTCCGTGACAATCGAGAATCGGCGGCCATAGATATAAGGGCGAAACTTGTGCACGGCGAATATGACCGCGAGACATTCCTGCTCTGTGACTGTATAGTTTCGCTCCGGCTTACTTAAACAGCGACTGGCATAGGCAACGACGTGTTCAGCAGCTCCATGGCGTTGGACCAATACGGCGCCAATACCTACACCACTGGCGTCGGTATGAACTTCTGTGGCAGCTGATGGGTCATAGTGGCGAAGTACGGGCCCTGACGTAAGAGCAAACTTGAGTTGCGAAAAAGACGACTCGCATTCCGCTGACCACCGAAAAGGATTGTTCTTGTTGAGTAGGGACGTCAAAGGGTAAGCGAGGTCGGCGAACCTGGGCACGAAGCGACGGAAGTACGAGCAAAGGCCCAAAAAGCTTCGCAACTCTCGTACCGACTGAGATTGTTTGAAGCTGCTGACTGCTGCGACTTTCTGGGGGTCGGGTCGAACGCCATGCTTGTCCACCAGGTGACCGAGAACGAGAGTCTCGCGGCTGCCAAAGTGACACTTCTTAGAGTTCAGGGTGAGCTTAGCTCTCTCAAGGCAGGTGAGAACAATGTCTAGACGATGGTTGTGTTCATCGAATGTACGGCCAAATATTATAATGTCATCCAGGTAGCAAAGCCAAACTTCCCACTTTAGTCCACGTAACACAGAGTCCATGAAGCGCTCAAACGTGGCTGGAGCGTTGCATAGGCCAAACGGCATTACATTGAATTCAAATAGACCATCTGGGGTTATGAAGGCCGTTTTCTCTTTGTCATTCGGGTGCATGGGTATTTGCCAATAACC